GATGACTGGTGTCGTTGTTCCTGCTGCTGCCGATGTTGTTTCTGCTGCTGCCGATGTTGTCTCTGCTGCTGCCGATGTTGTCTCTGCTGCTGTCGATGTTGTCTCTGCTGCTGCCGTTTGTTGAATTGTTGCTAATGCTCGTGTTCGTTCTGCTTCAGGGATGGTGTGCGAGTACCAGAAGCCTCCCGGGCTGAAGTCGGGATCGAGGTCCGGAGGGTGTGTCCAGTCGGCAAAGTTGACGATGGCGTCGCTGTCTGTAGTGCGCAGGTCGGGGACGAAGTCAAGAACGAAGACGTTGTTCTTCAACACTGCTCTCCCGATGTAGAGGCCGCCCCTCCTGTGGTATAACTTAAACTCCTGGGTGGTGCTGTCGGCTTCCAAGTGAATCCCCTTCGCCATCAGTTGGCTAACACTCAGTAAGTTGTAACCGAGTCCTTCTGCGATGAGTACCTTTGACATGTGTAGTATGACGTTAGTCTCTCTTTATTGAAGCTGAACGACTCCTTGTCGTCGTGTGCGCAGGTTCTGGTTGTTGGCGACCGTGATGACTACTTCTCGCTGGAGTCGATGTTCGCGTTGTACGAAGCGCCCGGAGGAGCACATGTGTTGTCCGCAGCAACTATCCTAGAACCAAGTGTCTTGGCCGGACGGTTCGCTTTGAGCGATGGCGGCGTATGTCGGATTCGGCTGGAGTGATTCGCGGCGAGGCGTCCTGTTGTCGAGCTCTTTTTCCGGTGAGTAGTGCGGTGGTGATTCGGTTGTGCACGAATCGGTTATCTTCACCATGCAGTTGACTATGTTTCTTGCTCCTTGTGCAGGTTGTCCAGTTGAAGTCGTTGAAGCTTGGATTGTGGTCGTCGGATTAGCTTGCGTTGAAGTAACTTGGGAGCTCGAAGGCCGGAGTTGTCGCTGTGGTGTTGTCTGACGAGACGGGCAATGCGTGCGAGGATGGCCCGAAGTCTTGCAGATGTGGCAGAACCGAGGTACCATTTTTACTTGCTGTTGTCGATTGTTGTTGCCGTTGTGTCGTCGCTGAGTGTGAAAAGCAAACTCTGGTGCTAATGCTTTCTTCTTGTGTCTTTCTTCTTGCAGGTCCATGTCCTGCTGCTCAGCATGAATTTCGGCGCAGAGTGCCGCTTCGGAGATCCTCCCGTGTGCTCGTAATATGGCGCGAGTGGATCGCCAGTGGGGGCCGAGACCGCCGATGACCACCGTGACAAAGGCGTCTTCTGAAATCGACCCGCCGCATCAAAGAAGCTTGTCGCGCAATTCGCGGCAGCGGCTGATATAAGCCATGTCTTTCTCGCCTGGTTTCATTTCAATCGTTGTCAGCTGCGCCATTAACCTGCTTTGATTTACGCTGTCTGTTGCTTGATACAGGTTCTTCAGGTGGTTGTACGCGAGCTCCGCGGAGTTGCGGTAGCCTCGGTAAGTCCTGATGTTCTGCTGCTGGGTCGGGGTGATGTTCCTCAGCAGAATCGTGTACGCCATCATTGATTGATATGTATATTGCTGCTTCTCATATTGTGTCCCGTTTGTTGGATATGGCAGGGACCCGTCGAAGAAGCCGAGAATCTGTGCTCCTTCCATCATCAGTTCAAACTCGAACGACCAGGTGAAGAAATCCTTGCCGTCGAAAGGCTTTGTCGTTTGTAGTTTTAGGACATGCGCAAATTGTGATTGGACTTGTAGCGCATCCAATGCCTTTTCTTGTCCCGATGCAGGTTGTGGTTGCGGCATGAAGCTGACGGAGCCACGTTGAGGCTCGTACGGCGCAAAGGTAGGCTGCTGTTGTTGTTGTTGAATCCCGCGTGCGTAGGATGAGCCATCGAGGCTCATCGGAGTAACGTTGTTGTTGTTGCTATTGTTTGACTGCGCAGGCACTCCTTGCTGGTGTTGCTCGTAGAAGGACATGAAGGAGAAAAATTTCTCCATCATGCTTGGATCGAAGCCTGCGGGAGTTTCCGTGGACCCAGCTGCTGGTCTCGTGGTAGTTCCTTCTTCTGTCTGTAGACCAGAGGCAGGAGGTGGAGTAGGAGTAGTGCCTGGAGAGCCGTTGGAGGAGCTCCTCTCCTTCCTTGCAGACATGTCTTCTTTCTTTGTATTGAGTGTTGAGAGAAAAATGACTTTCAAACTCTAACTGCTCTCATACCATGTTGGGCTGAGGTGCCCCTAGGATCTTTGTAGAGCTTAAAGTTTGAGTAGGATTGTAATAGCGGAAGCGTTGAAATAAAAGAGTGCTTTGAACCACCTTGCACTAGTATGTGAGGGCAAAGTAAGTTAAATTAAACAAGCAAATACAAAGGTTTATATAAGAGTACAAGGAATACGAATAGATAGGTTTAAACCGTTTTACTGTTGCGATTCGATACAGTGCGACTCGGGCAACTGCTCAATGTCGAGTCAGTTGTGTGTCCTTGCTGTCGCGCTGTAATTGTCCTTTGACTTTCCCGTAACCTCCAGGCGGTTACCCTAACCTCCGAGGGTTGACTCGCGATGCTTCGATTCGGACTGCTTTGCTAGTGTCTTGAGTTTCGACACGACAGAGGCGCTTAAGACTTATTGTTCCCAACACTACACAGGGTGTGGCGCACAGAGCTGCAGGCCGCTTTGACAGGGAGGTTGGGAGTTCAGCGGCTCACACGGTAGACTTTGATGCCCAGCTGGCTCGTGTGGAGCAGATGGGCACGGAGAGCCGAACATCTACCGATGCATGACTTTGTGTTAGTTAGGCTCGTATGGAGCAGATAGGCATGCAGATGGTTCACCTGCTGGTGCATGATTTGTTGTAGGTGCACGCGCTGCTGCTGTGCATTTGATGATTTCTGAGACGTGGGCTGCATTTCCGTTGGACGTTCCCTCCACTCCATGTTGTGTTCCCTCTGCGAGTTGTTTTTCACATGTGTAGAAAGTGTAAGTAATTTCGTTTCATTTTAAAATAGGTGTAGCATCAAGCCACTGGATAGGATTCAAGCTTATCATGGGTTATCAGTGTGTGCTGGACTCAGAGAGTATTCGAGCCCGCAAACAATAGTATGTACCATATGTAGGAATTCGATCGCATAGACATGGTAATTTGTACACATTCACACACATTCTTTTGACAGATGTCTTTGTGGAAAGGTAACAGAAAACTATTTGTCAATCATATTTCTATTCTTCTGCTTGACTTGAGATCTTTTGTGCAATCTCAGCAAAAACGCGTCCCCGATGCTCGAAGTTGTCAAACTCGTCAAAGCTGGCACATGCTGGGCTGAGAAGGATCGTGTCACCTGGAGGAGTGATGTGAGCACATGATGGGGTGTGGAAATGTGGGAGGAGGTGAAACTTGGTGGCAAGGGACGAGAGAGAGGGAAGGAAGAGGAGACAAAGTATGAAGTTCACTATAAGGAGCAGAGACTTAGCCCCCATGCATCGCCTGCTACATTGATACGAATTGACTACTAATGGGGATGGAGATATCAGCTGGGCCTTGGAACTTGGCACTCAGCAGCAGGGGTAGTGGTGTGTGCAGCAGGATGCTTGGCTTGCTGCATACTGTGGTGCGGTGACTGCAATGCCCGAGTGCATATTGTGGTGTTCAAAGAGTGGATTGGGCAGAGATACCCCAGACTGTGGGCTCTATGAGCTGCTGTGAGCTGCTGTGAGCTGCTGTGAGCTGCTGTGAGCTGCTGTGAGCTGCTGTGAGCTGCTGTGAGCTGCTGTGAGCTGCTGTGAGCTGCTGTGAGCTGCTGTGAGCTGCTGTGAGCTGCTGTGAGCTGCTGTGAGCTGCTGTGAGCTGCTGTGAGCTGCTGTGAGCTGCTGTGAGCTGCTGTGAGCTGCTGTGAGCTGCTGTGAGCTGCTGTGAGCTGCTGTGAGCTGCTGTGAGCTGCTGTGAGCTGCTGTGAGCTGCTGTGAGCTGCTGTGAGCTGCTGTGAGCTGCTGTGAGCTGCTGTGAGCTGCTGTGAGCTGCTGTGAGCTGCTGTGAGCTGCTGTGAGCTGCTGTGAGCTGCTGTGAGCTGCTGTGAGCTGCTGTGAGCTGCTGTGAGCTGCTGTGAGCTGCTGTGAGCTGCTGTGAGCTGCTGTGAGCTGCTGTGAGCTGCTGTGAGCTGCTGTGAGCTGCTGTGAGCTGCTGTGAGCTGCTGTGAGCTGCTGTGAGCTGCTGTGAGCTGCTGTGAGCTGCTGTGAGCTGCTGTGAGCTGCTGTGAGCTGCTGTGAGCTGCTGTGAGCTGCTGTGAGCTGCTGTGAGCTGCTGTGAGCTGCTGTGAGCTGCTGTGAGCTGCTGTGAGCTGCTGTGAGCTGCTGTGAGCTGCTGTGAGCTGCTGTGAGCTGCTGTGAGCTGCTGTGAGCTGCTGTGAGCTGCTGTGAGCTGCTGTGAGCTGCTGTGAGCTGCTGTGAGCTGCTGTGAGCTGCTGTGAGCTGCTGTGAGCTGCTGTGAGCTGCTGTGAGCTGCTGTGAGCTGCTGTGAGCTGCTGTGAGCTGCTGTGAGCTGCTGTGAGCTGCTGTGAGCTGAGACAAGGCTCACCAGGAAGAGCTGTGTCCGCACCGCAGCAGCACACATGGCTTGCTGCAATGTGGTGCACTGAATGAGAGCGACTGTGAGATGGAGACACCTCTGTCTGTACGCAAGTCGACTCCAACATCACCACAACACTCAACAGGGAGAGCAGTCTCTGCAGCAGTAGACGCATTACTTGCTGCATCATGGTGCAGAGGCTGGGCTGAGAGAGGAAGCGAGATCCGACATCGACTCAGCAACAATGACAAACACTCACCCCCAGTTTGAAGACGTCTCAAACCGTATTTTGAGAGAGAGAGAGAGAGAGAGAGAGAGAGAGAGAGAGAGAGAGAGAGAGAGAGAGAGAGAGAGAGAGAGAGAGAGAGAGAGAGAGAGAGAGAGAGAGAGAGAGAAAAACAGAAGCGAGACCCAACACCGACTCAGCAACAATGACAAGCACTGAACCCCAGTTTCAAGACGTCGCAAAGCCCAAGAGACCCAAGGCAGTTACCGCAAGACTCACCCGGGAGGCCTGTCTGGGCAGCAGCATGCATGGCGTGCTCCATTGTGGTGCACGGAATGACAGCGACTGCGAGACCCGCGGCTGTGAGCTCACTTGCAATAGACGGGCCTGATTGGCCAAACTGATGGGAGGGAGGGCGAAGAGGATGGGGTGGGGAGAGGCAGAAGCAAGGATGGGGGGGGAAGAGGCAGAAGCGAGGATGGGCGGGGGAAGAGGCAGAAGCGAGGATGGGGGGGGAAGAGGCAGAAGCGAGGATGGGGGGGGAAGAGGCAGAAGCGAGGATGGGGGGGGAAGAGGCAGAAGCGAGGATGGGGGGGAAGAGGCAGAAGCGAGGATGGGGGGGAAGAGGCAGAAGCGAGGATGGGGGGGGAAGAGGCAGAAGCGAGGATGGGGGGGGAAGAGGCAGAAGCGAGGATGGGGGGGGAAGAGGCAGAAGCGAGGATGGGGGGGGAAGAGGCAGAAGCGAGGATGGGGGGGAAGAGGCAGAAGCGAGGATGGGGGGGGAAGAGGCAGAAGCGAGGATGGGGGGGGAAGAGGCAGAAGCGAGGATGGGGGGGGAAGAGGCAGAAGCGAGGATGGGGGGGGAAGAGGCAGAAGCGAGGATGGGGGGGGAAGAGGCAGAAGCGAGGATGGGGGGGGAAGAGGCAGAAGCGAGGATGGGGGGGGAAGAGGCAGAAGCGAGGATGGGGGGGGAAGAGGCAGAAGCGAGGATGGGGGGGAAGAGGCAGAAGCGAGGATGGGGGGGGAAGAGGAGGCAGAAGCGAGGATGGGGGGGGAAGAGGCAGAAGCGAGGATGGGGGGGGAAGAGGCAGAAGCGAGGATGGGGGGGGAAGAGGCAGAAGCGAGGATGGGGGGGGAAGAGGCAGAAGCGAGGATGGGGGGGGAAGAGGCAGAAGCGAGGATGGGGGGGGAAGAGGCAGAAGCGAGGATGGGGGGGGAAGAGGCAGAAGCGAGGATGGGGGGGGAAGAGGCAGAAGCGAGGATGGGGGGGAAGAGGCAGAAGCGAGGATGGGGGGGGAAGAGGCAGAAGCGAGGATGGGGGGGGAAGAGGCAGAAGCGAGGATGGGGGGGGAAGAGGCAGAAGCGAGGATGGGGGGGGAAGAGGCAGAAGCGAGGATGGGGGGGGAAGAGGCAGAAGCGAGGATGGGGGGGGAAGAGGCAGAAGCGAGGATGGGGGGGGAAGAGGCAGAAGCGAGGATGGGGGGGGAAGAGGCAGAAGCGAGGATGGGGGGGGAAGAGGCAGAAGCGAGGATGGGGGGGGAAGAGGCAGAAGCGAGGATGGGGGGGGAAGAGGCAGAAGCGAGGATGGGGGGGGAAGAGGCAGAAGCGAGGATGGGGGGGGAAGAGGCAGAAGCGAGGATGGGGGGGGAAGAGGCAGAAGCGAGGATGGGGGGGGAAGAGGCAGAAGCGAGGATGGGGGGGGAAGAGGCAGAAGCGAGGATGGGGGGGGAAGAGGCAGAAGCGAGGATGGGGGGGGAAGAGGCAGAAGCGAGGATGGGGGGGGAAGAGGCAGAAGCGAGGATGGGGGGGGAAGAGGCAGAAGCGAGGATGGGGGGGAAGAGGCAGAAGCGAGGATGGGGGGGAAGAGGCAGAAGCGAGGATGGGGGGGGAAGAGGCAGAAGCGAGGATGGGGGGGAAGAGGCAGAAGCGAGGATGGGGGGGGAAGAGGCAGAAGCGAGGATGGGGGGGGAAGAGGCAGAAGCGAGGATGGGGGGGGAAGAGGCAGAAGCGAGGATGGGGGGGGAAGAGGCAGAAGCGAGGATGGGGGGGGAAGAGGCAGAAGCGAGGATGGGGGGGGAAGAGGCAGAAGCGAGGATGGGGGGGGAAGAGGCAGAAGCGAGGATGGGGGGGGAAGAGGCAGAAGCGAGGATGGGGGGGGAAGAGGCAGAAGCGAGGATGGGGGGGAAGAGGCAGAAGCGAGGATGGGGGGGGAAGAGGCAGAAGCGAGGATGGGGGGGGAAGAGGCAGAAGCGAGGATGGGGGGGGAAGAGGCAGAAGCGAGGATGGGGGGGGAAGAGGCAGAAGCGAGGATGGGGGGGGAAGAGGCAGAAGCGAGGATGGGGGGGGAAGAGGCAGAAGCGAGGATGGGGGGGGAAGAGGCAGAAGCGAGGATGGGGGGGGAAGAGGCAGAAGCGAGGATGGGGGGGAAGAGGCAGAAGCGAGGATGGGGGGGAAGAGGCAGAAGCGAGGATGGGGGGGGAAGAGGCAGAAGCGAGGATGGGGGGGGAAGAGGCAGAAGCGAGGATGGGGGGGGAAGAGGCAGAAGCGAGGATGGGGGGGGAAGAGGCAGAAGCGAGGATGGGGGGGGAAGAGGCAGAAGCGAGGATGGGGGGGGAAGAGGCAGAAGCGAGGATGGGGGGGGAAGAGGCAGAAGCGAGGATGGGGGGGGAAGAGGCAGAAGCGAGGATGGGGGGGAAGAGGCAGAAGCGAGGATGGGGGGGGAAGAGGCAGAAGCGAGGATGGGGGGGGAAGAGGCAGAAGCGAGGATGGGGGGGAAGAGGCAGAAGCGAGGATGGGGGGGAAGAGGCAGAAGCGAGGATGGGGGGGAAGAGGCAGAAGCGAGGATGGGGGGGGAAGAGGCAGAAGCGAGGATGGGGGGGGAAGAGGCAGAAGCGAGGTTGCGGGGAGGGAGAACAGGAGATTGATTGGTGGGGCAGTGAATGGGTGGATGGTGAGGTTTGAGGCTGTGAGCTCACTCGCAATGGGCGGACCTCATTGGTTGAGCTGATGGGAGGGAGGGTGAAGGGGATGAATTGATGAGGCTGTGACCTAGCTGGGAATGAATGCTGCGACTGAGGAAACTAGCTCCCCACTGTAATCAACCCCCACGGGTATCTTAACTCGTTTATGAATAACAAAAAAAAAAAAAAACTAGCTGGGAATGAATAGAGGGGGAATAGCCCCCCACTGTTATCCACCCCCACGAGTATCTTGACTCGAATCAAACATGCCTAGCTGGGAGTAGCAGGGGAGGGGGAACAAACACCTCTGCAATCAACCACCCCAAACTGCAATTGCCACTGCCCTCTAATTAGCGTTGTCTCACTAGCTCTCATTCATGCCGTCTCTTTAGCGTTGTCTCACTAGCTCTCATTCATGCCGTCTCTTTAGCGTTGTCTCGATAATGTCATCCTATTACTGTCATGTCATCTACATAGTAACATTCCCATCTCACAATCGCCCCCATCCAGGCCAATGCGACGGCAGTGCATAAGCAATTGAGCACAGCGGGATGAGCTTGGGGAAACCAATCAAGAGAGGGGCTGGGGAGGGGCGGCGACACACTCGTTATAGTCACAATCATCACACACTCGGAGTGATCATGGCTCCATCGCGGATGCACACTTGAACTAACTTGCACAAGCCCAGTGGGGGGAGGGGAGGGAGCTTAACTGAGAAGGATCAGCCTTGAAAATTCTCAGAGCTATACTCGCTACAGTCACCAAGACCACACATTCGCAGTGATGACAGCTCAATGCCGGTTGAGCACAGGAACGAGCTTAGAGAAGCCCAGAGTGGGGAAGAAGGAGCAGCATTGGCACAAATGCACCCGTATGATGCCTCAAAGCCACACTCGTTTCAGTCACAAACACAATAACAGCTCACAGTGATCACGGCTCGATGGCGGTTGAGCACGGGGACAAGCTTGGAGAAGCCCGGAGGGGAGGCGTCAGATGCTCCTCCTTCATCTGTTGCTGCGAGGGACTTGAAGACCTGAGAGCAGATGATGACAGCAACAGAAACAAGTCCTCAGACCAAAACAATGCATAAGACGTACACACCACCACCACCACCATCACGCACCGACAACGAGTGCCTACAATGAAAGAGGCGCACAAGTGCCTACCAACCATCACCATGAATGAGTGCAGATATGCTATTCGTTCGCCAAGTGGGCAGGATTGCGGGCAGAGGAGCAGGCAGACAGGCAAGCACCACCAATTTCAGCCAGCAAACCACCCATACGTTCCGCAGCAAGAGGCACTCTTTATGTATCAACGGATGAATGAATTTTTTAGGCGCCTCAAAAATCTTCATAAATCAACGGATGAATGAACAGCGTACCACGCCGTGACTTTTGAGTCGACTCAAAAGTCACCTCGTTCCGCAGCAAGAGGCTCTCTTCATGAATGAACGGATGAATGAACGGATGAATGAACGGCCTACCATGCCAAACCTGCCTTCCCTCCTTTCCCCTCCCTCCAACTGTTGATTGCACCTTAGCTATTCCTCCCAGCAGAATAACAGCCGTGGATTCATCTCCCAGCCCTTCGATCCCAGCCGTTGATGCCTCCACGTTGGTGGCCTTGCTGTCGTTGATCCACGCACGATCCTGACCGTCCACAACCACTGCAGGGTGGAGGGTGGGCGGAGGAAGAAAGGCGAGAAGGAGGACGGTAAGTGAGAAAGAGATATGCTCACCCAGCAACCCTCAACCTGATTCCCAAATCCCAACAGTCTCACTCACTCACTCACTCTCGCACTCACTCACTGAATCTTGCTCGCTCACTCTCTCACTCACCCAGCTCCATACGGTGTGGTGGTGGCTGCAACACCTTCACTGCATTCTGCACCCCTTCCAACCGCACTCCACTGCTCTCCATCCCCAGCGCCAGGCACAGCAGCGCCGCTACAGCCGCATTCTCCGCGTTGTGCCTGCCCACAGCTTGTAACGCGGACAGATCCAGAGCCAGCACAGGGGCTTGGTCTCCTGTGCTGCTGCCGTGCCCCTTGCTGCTCTCCTTGCTCTCCCTGCCCCCACTGCTGCTCTCCCTGCCACTGTCAGCACTGGCACTGGTTGTGGAGAGTGGCAGCTGCAGCAAAGCGGTTCTGTCTTCGTGGTTCACAGTGCACCCGGGTAGCTGGCCCAGCCACGCCATGCTGGGATGGCCCCCTGCCTCCCCTGCCAGCCGGGTGAGCAGAGGGTCATCTGCATTGAGGGGAAAGGAAAGAGGGAAAGGCGGTACTGCTCTCATAGCTGCTGCTGTCAGCATTGACACTTGCAGTTAGCAGCAGCGTGGTTCCCTCAGCGTGGTTCACAGTGCATCCGGGTAGCTTCCCCAGCCATGCCATGCTGGGGTGTCCCCCTACCTCCCATGCTAGCTGCATGAGCAGAGGATCACCTGTTTCAAGGTGGGTGAGTGGGACAGAAGCAGCAGAGGCAGAGAGGAAGTGCACTTGTTGGTTCTCTCACCATGCGAAGTGAATTTTGAGCTGCTTCTTGGGGAATAAACTTGCGCCGAGCCGTGCAGGTTTATTTATTTGTGAGTCTTTTATTTTCAAAACCACAGCTCCTCCTGCACAATTTGTTTAGTTCGCGAGTATTTCACATCTTATGCTGCTAGTTATTGTGCTATAGGTGCCTTGCCCTGCTGTTGCCCTTTGCCTTGTGCCACGTCGTTCGTGAAACTTTTTTAAAATACTGATTCTCACCTTGTTTCTGTTTTGTGCCGTTCTTATTATGTCCTTTCATTATCTGAAAGATGTGAATGCAAAAATAAACAGCGCGCAACTGATGGAGGTTCTCTCGTTGGAGGAAGAGTCTCTGGCCAACGGCTCCTCTGTGGATCTTGTTTCGCACAAGCGAGCAGAGACTATCTGAGTGACTCGTATGCTGTGGATCATCTGAATCTGGCCGATTTGTCACATTTCGCTCCTCTTCAGATCATCAAGGCAAGAATGATCTGAAGAGCAGCGAAATGTGACAAATCGGCCAGATTCAGATGATCCACAGCATACGAGTCACTCAGATAGTCTCTGCTCGCTTGTGCGAAACAAGAATCCACAGAGGAGGCGTTGGCCAGAGACTCTTCCTCCAATGAGAGAACCTCCATCAGCTGCGCGCTGCTTATTTTTGCATTCACATCATTCAGGTAATGAAATGACATAATAAGAACGGCACAAAACAGAAACAAGATGAGAATCAGTATTTAAAAAAACTTTCACGAACGACGTGGTACAAGGCAAGGGGCAACAACAGGACAAGGCACCTATAGCACAATAACTACCAGCATAAGATGTGAAATAATCGCGAACCAAACAAATTGTGCAGGAGGAGCTGTGGTTTTGAAAATAAAAGACTCACAAATAAACTTGGACAGCTCGGTGCTCTCACCATATGAGCTGCTTGGGGAAAAAACGGATCAGAAACAAAAGAAAATAAGAAGTATCCGAAGCAGAGTAACAGTGGAGGAATCGAAATCAGAATCAGGAGCAGGATCATGCACACCTGATGGAATGATTGCCACCTCAGACTCCCCCATGCGCGCAAACAGATGACACTTTGCCGCCCCGTAGCTCTCCATGTTGCCGTGCCTCTCCAGGTGGTCCGGCGTGAGGTTCAGAATGACCGCAGCCTTGGGACGGAACCTTCCAGGCAACTCCATCTGGTAGCTGCTCACCTCCACCACTGCTGCCTGAGCAGGGGGGAAACAGTGGGCGTGGGATGGGGGGAGAGAAGAGCAGCAGACGCAAACAGGGGTGATGATGGTGAGCAAAGTGGGACATGCAGGCAGACGTGGGCGGGTGGGGAGCAGTCACGTTGGTAGCTGCTTACCTCCACCACTGCTTCCTGCACGGGGAGACATGTGGTGGGCGGGATGGGCGGAGAGAAGGGTAGCAGAGACGAACAGGGGTGGTGGGAAGAGCAGTAAGTTGGAAATGCAGGCAGGGGTGGGCGTGGTAACTGCTTACCATCACCAATGCTGCCAATACGGTGGGCGGGTACGAGTGTTGGCGGAAGAGCAGGGTGGGAGTGGAGGTGGGGAGATGAGAGGATGGGTGAGACGAGGCGAGATGGTGAAGGTGGGGTGACGAGAGGATGGGTTGGGATGGATTGATGGGAGAGGCGGACAAGTGAAACAAGGGGAGGGGGAGGTGTTGAGTGAGAAACATGGGGATGGAGTGGAGGGTCTGGCATCTGTTCAACTCCACCACACCACACCACACCACTGCATCCTGTAGTAAATAGTTAATACTTGTTTCCTCACATCTGCTGCTACAGCTACAACCACACCTGCTGCTATCAATAATCACACCTGGAAAGGTTTGGAGGTGCCAGTGTGACCATGCTGTGCTGTGACGCCGTGACAATATTTGTTTTGAGGCGCCTCAAAAACAGAACGAATATATGGCTGGAATATATGGCTGGAATATATGGCTGGAATATATGGCTGGAATATATGGCTGGAATATATGGCTGGAATATACGTGGAAGGGGTTGGAGGTGCCGGTGTGACCATGCTGTGACGCCATGACACATTCGAGGGCGGCCAGTGAGAGGGGCGTGCCCAGATTGCCGCCCACAAATGTGTGGATTCCAATGGACTCGAGAATCTGAGCAGGGAACAAGAAGGGGGCGTGAAGGGTGAGAAGGTGAGACGAGGCTGCCACTGCCAGTGAGAAGGGCGCGCCCAGATTGCCGCCCAGATTGCCGCCCACAAACGTGTGGATTCCGATTGACTCGAGAATCTGAGACGGGAACAAGAAATGGGCATCAAAGGGAAAATAGGAGGAAGGGCGAACGGGGGTGAAAGGGGAAGAAGCTCAAAAGGGGAAACAAAAGGAGGGGAAATACCGATACAGATGGCCAGGGAAGAGATCATCAGAGGAGGCATCAGTAGGCATTCTGAGGAGGCACCTCTCAGGGGAGGGAGATAGCAAGGAGAGATACTGGCTGATTCCTCCTCTTGCTATCTCTCTCCCCTTATTGACTCCCAAGAACCACCTTGCACTACACACTACTACACTAACCTCACATTCCACGTCAGCACCTGCCACGTCATCATCACCTGGCCTGCAAACGTGGCGACAGTGGATTTGCCGTTGGTCCCTGTGACGGCAGCAATGGGCATTCCAGGTGGCAGGCTGTCATAGGCGAATGCCAGCTCAGACAGCATCGGCACGCCCTGAAACGTGTGTGGGAGGGGGAGGAGGAATGAGGGGAGGAAAGAGTGGACAAGGAGAGGGGGAGGGGGGGGGGGGGGAACAGAGGAGGTGACTTTTGAGTCGACTCAAAAGTCAAAACGTGTGTGGGAGGGGGAGGAGAAAGGAGGGGAGGACAGAGCGGACAAGGAGAGCAGGGGGAGGGGGAGAACAGAGGAGGTGGGTGCGCGATTTTGGAGTGACTGAGACTACAAGCAACAGCTGGGTTGAGGCAAACATGACTGATAGGGAGAACAGGCGCATTTTGCTCCTCACCACTATACATGGCGAGACGAGAGAGGCGAGAGAGGAAAGAGAGGATTGTCTTTTCTTCTGAGGCACGTGGTGGAAGCTTGTACCTGAGAAAGCGAGTTGACTTTTGAGTCGACTCAAAAGTCACACGTGGGAGCTCATACCTGAGAAAGCGAGTTGACTTTTGAGTCGACTCAAAGGTCACATGTGGGAGCTCGCACCTGAGAAAGCGAGTTGACTTTTGAGTCGACTCAAAAGTCACACGTGGGAGCTCATACATGAGAAAGCGAGTTGACTTTTGAGTCGACTCAAAAGTCACACGTGGGAGGTCATACCAGAGAAAGCGCCTGGCTTATCATGGGTTCTGAAAGCAGTACACCAGGAGACAGGACGACGAGGGAGGCGGAGAGGAGGAGAGGGAGGGGGTGGGGAACCAGATGAAGGGAGAGGCGAGAGGCTTGGGGACAAGAGGAGTTAACGAGAGAGGTGGATTGAAGTGTCTTCTGGGGCATGTGAGAGATCACACCTGAGACAGCGCCTGGCTTATTATGGGTTCTGCTGATCTGAGAGCGGTAGGTACACTAAGGAATTTTGAGACGGCTCAATATCCCGTACCTGAGACAGCGCCTGGCTTATCGTGGACTCTGAAAGTGGTACTCCAGGAGACAGGACGACGAGGGAGGCAGAGAGGAGGAGGGGGAGGGGGTGCGGACCCAGATGGGTGGAGAGGCGGGAGATGAGGGGAGGAGAGGAGGCGGGTTCTGGAAGCCCATCCCATACGCTTGGATCGTCCTGACGGGTGGGCGAGAGAGGAGAGAGGAGAAATAAGGGGTTACATCAATGTCCTGATCAGATGGTAGAGGAACTGCATGAGGTGAGGAAAGAGGGGGGGAAAAACCCATCCCAGACACGTGGATAGTTCTGAAGGATGAGTCAAAACAAATCATGGATAGAGTTTGATGATGTAGCGCCAACTTATGCCGTACCATTGTAAGCCGCCACTTGGTTATGCTCCTAAAATCTAGTGCAAGAAAAAAGCATTGATCACAGTCGAAGTGCCGACTCAGGCATTTGCCTATGCACCCTAAAACTCTAAACCCGGTGCCTTGTGGAACTGCCCGAAATTCTAAACCCGGAACCCGAAACCCTAAACCCTGTACAGACAAGTCACAGGCAGCAGCAGCTCCCATAACTCACCCCGCTAAGCACACAACCCAAATGCCTTAACAAATGACAATGCGCGCACTTCCGGTGCTTTGGCGTATGATTTCCTGTCCAGTCCAGGCCGACCACAGCAGCAGCAGCTCCTCTTGCTAGACCACACTTCCCCAACTCTGAACCCACCCACCCACATGACATGGAGCAGTCAGCAACAACACACGCACCTCCAGTGCCTTGGCGTCTGCCTTCCTCCTGTCCAGGCCAACCACAGCAGCAGCTCCCCTGCCTGGCTACGGCACACAATCCCATCCCTGAACCCACGTGTCATAGTGTCATTCGCAGCAACAGCGCACGCACCTCTTGTTGATGTAGGGGGTTCCTAAAAAATCTCAAAAACACCCTATAACAGTGCTGAACCCACGTGTCATAGTGCCGTCAGCAGCAACAGCGCACGCACCTCGCACGCATTGGAGTCTGTCCTCCTGTCCAGGCCGGTCATGGTAGCAGCTCCCCCTGCCTGGATACAGCACACACCCCCAACCCTAAACCCACTCTCAAAGTCATGGTGTTGTTAGCAGCCACACATACCTCCAGTGCATTGGCGTCGGTCCTTCTGTTCAGACCAATCACAGCAGCAGCTCCCCGGACCCCGCGCTGGAGCAATGACAAGGTGACTTTTCGTCGACTCAAAAGCTCCCCGGACCCCGCGCTAGAGTATGCACAACAACCCCCAACCAACACGCACAACACACGCACACACCTCTAGTGCCTGTGCCTTGGCGTCTGTCCTCCTGCCCAGCCAGACCGATCACAGCAGCAGCTCCCCGCACTAGAGCATGCACAACCCCCCCCAACCATGGATGGACCCACTTGACAAGGTGCTGACAGCAACACCAACACACACACCTCCAGTGCCTTGGCGTCTGTCCTCCTGTCCAGCCAGCCCGATAACAGCAGCGGCTCCCCGCGCTACAGCATGCACAACCCCAACCCTAAACCCCACATGCTATGGCCATGGTGTTGCTGCCAGCAGAGACAACACACACACGCACCTCCAGTGCCTTGGCGTCTGTCCTCCTGTCCAGGCCGATCACAGCAGCAGCACCCCTCGCTAGGGCCAGGCGCGCTGCTGCTCTGCCTGATGCTCCCAGGCCCACCACCTGAGAGGGGGAGCATGGGGAAGGAAGCAGGCATGTGAGAGGGACGAGGGTGAGCGGGACGAGTGCGAGAGGGACGAGTGCGAGAGGGACGAGTGCGAGAGGGACGAGTGCGAGAGGGACGGGCTTAACGGAGGAACCAGAGAGGAGGGGTGAGAGAAAGAAAGTGCAATACTTCAGAGATGCTTGAAGGACCATGCGAAAGGCCAGGATTCACAGATGATTGATTGGTCCTTGCGAGGATTTAAGAATCGAAGGAAATCCTGTTAGAAAGGAACATCAGTAGTGACTCCGATGTCCGGCAGCTTACAACGATCGTCTGGCCGGCAAGATCGACGGCCGGAGTGTCACAGGTAACGGTTGGATCCGAATTCGATCCGCCTGCGGCCGCAACCACCGCCCGCCGTTGACCATCATGTAAAAGCACTACCATCGACGCATTGTCCGAATGGGTGGCAATCTCAAAAGGAGCGCCGTCTGTTCCTCTAACGAACGCGTTCTTCATGCTTGCGAACTCTGAGGAGACGAATTCGGGGTGGCGTGCTAGAAAACGATTCCGCCGCCGTGTGCGCTTGGTCGCTGGCAGGACAGCAGCCAACACTGGAACGATGTCGCTACTCGAAGCAGCGTTGAATGGAGAAACGGGGGGAATCGAGAGTTGGGTGGCTGGAATCGCGGTCCGGAGATAAGCAGCCATAAAGGCGTGCTCCCGGTGGCAAAGTGCTACAATTTAGTCGCCGTGCAGGCGTGCAGGCGTGCAGGCGCGGAGGCGCGGAGGCAGCGGGCCCGAGGAGGTGAGGCGGTGGGAAGGATGCGAAGAGGCGATGTGGCGGGCCCACTACGATGCGGCGACGCACCGCAGAGGCGGCGAGTCAGCGCGCCTGCTGCTGCGAGGGTCGATGCGCGCAGCGCTCAGCCGAGCGTGCTGAGAGGACGCGGATACTCAGCGAGCAGGCGGACGGACTCAGGTGGGGGGAAGAGCTGTGGGAGCTATCTATATGTGTGGTTCCCGCATCTATGGACTATTACTGGGCTGCATGAACCATGTAAGCGGTAATGATTCTGGACGAATATAGAATGTTAACAATCTAATAAACAAAACATGATCAGGCCAATTCTAACTCCAGCTCACACCATGGGCCATCGTTTGCATCAACCACTGACTAACCTATGTAATGTACATATTTACTTCATGGCAAAGACTTTCTGCCATGATGGACGAGAGGAGATTCTCTCCCACCACTTGTTCACGTTAGGCCGTGACGTTATCACATCAGAATCGCCAGACACCCAGAGCATGGCAGTGTAAGGCAGGTGGACTAGATCCGCCAAGGAAAAGAAGGAGCCAGCCAGGTAGTCATTTGAAGCCAAGCGTGCTTCGTACACGTCAAGGACTTGAGAGAGCTGTAGATTAAGACCGGAGGGAAGGAGGGGGGGAGGGGTAGGGGGAGTGTGGGGGAGGGGGGAGGGGGGAGGGGAAGGGTAAAAAAGAGAGTAAGGAAACGAGGTGGCGTATTGCGCAAGGCAGACAGGTGCAGAGAGAAGAAAGGCCAGGGCGGGCTCCTGATACGGTACGGACATGCCAAGGAAGAAAAGAGGGACAAAGGACAGTAATCCAGATAAACGTACCTTTGCCTTGTATTCCGCTGCCTTGGCCTCGTCTGTGGTCAGTCCCTTCCTGGGCTTGAAAATCTTCTCAGCTATCAGCCCGGAAATAGGGGGGTTGTAGTTTTGAGACTCAACTTCCAGCCACAAATTCACCAGGGCACGCTCCTGTTGCACACATGCACGTAGAAAAAAACCATGAAAGATTCGTTCAGCGCGTGCCTAGGTCTAGCGCGAGTGACGACTGCAGCATCGTGTGGACTCCACACTGTAGAGCATCAGACTGACAAAAATAATTAAGGCTCTGGCGATAGGGTCTTGCCTTGAGGGTGGAGCCGAGGAGGTTCGTGCCTTGTTCAGCGTACTTGTCGGCGACGTATCGTGCGATGGCTCGGGATTCTGCGGCGGAAAAACGCAGGCGTGAGGTTCGCGGAGACGTCGCAAGCGGGCATGTAGGTGACAAAAGTGGAAAAACAACACTGAGAATACTTTCTACTTACCGAAAAGCTCAACATCCTCGTCTTCCAGCACAGGAATGACGCCGAACGGCTGCAAGGAGAACGATTAGGGTTCAGTAAAATAACTAGCAGGTTGATTTGCAGGAAACATTTGAACCTAAATCATGCGACGCGTGTGATGCCGCTGGCTGGCTCTATCACGGACCTGTTTCTTCTTGAACTCGGCCGATTTCTGCTCGCCCTTGGACAAATCTATGGTTACAAATTCGTAGTCCTGCATTGCATGTAAAGATGACAGTTGAAGGTAAGAATTTTAACGGCGCTGCGACGTAACGACTAACATGAGATTGTACTCCGAGTCGTACCGTAACATTTTTCTCTTCTAAAGCAGTAAGAACCCGTTTCGTGCAGGTCGAGAGCTTCAGACCATATATCTTGGTCTTGCTGGCGGCAGCCATGGCGTGCACGCGGCTAGGAACACGCAGTGAACTAACGAAGGGGAGAGGAGAAATGGCGATAGCACGCGAAAATGAGACGACCCTGGTAGCAGCGGCCATGGAATTTGTACATTATAAGCGCAAAGTATATCCGTTTTGTACATCACGACATCCAGCAAATCTCGCTCAGCGGCGTTAGGCAGTAGGGCGCTGTGCATTGCTACAGTCTGCAGCAAAAGCCGTCCTTGTGGTTCCGACGTTCTAGAACCGTAGGGCATTGCTAGGAGGTTTCGGAGAAGGCAAAACGAACATCTGCAAAGCGAAGGCCAGAAATTCAGCTCAGAAATTTTTTCCTCGTTTAGTACGGTATAAGCTCATTGTTTCTTGTACCAAGCAGGTTACGTTTTTAGCTTGTATGGTAATCTAATTTAGGTATATAGTTTTCTAAGCTAGTTGAGTTTCCTCTTACAGCATGTACGAGTATTCCACATGTTGGTCTACAATTCGTGCGAGAGAATGAAATTGCTGCTACATTGCTCTAAGACAAAAAGAACTTGTTGAAGGGACGGTATGAAGATATTGATCAAATGCACTTCAAATCATTTATCACTTCGATTTTTTTTTTAAACAAGTTCTATATGTACATGACTACTTCATGGCAAATACTTTCTGCCATGATGGACGAGAGGAAATTCTCTCCCACCATTTGTTCACGTTAGGCCGTCCGTGATGTAATGACATCAGAATCACCACACACCCAGAGGACTGCAGTGTAGGGCAGGTGCACCAGATCCGCCAGGGAAAATGAGGAACCAGCCAGGTAGTCGTTTGCTGCCAAGTGTGCCTCGTACACATCTAGGACTTCGGAGAGCTGCAAAACTCAACATCCTCGTCCTCCAGGACGGGAATGACGCTGAATGGCTGCAAGAAGAACAAATAGGGTTCAATAGAGCGACTAGGCCGCGTTAGTTCACAAATACCGTCGAACCTAAATCATGCGATAGTACTTCTGACGGCTAGAAGTTCTACCGAGGACCTGCTTCTTCTTGAACTCGGCGGACTTGTGCTCACCCTTGAACACATCCACTGTCACGAGATCATAGTCCTGCGATATATCAAAACATCGACCGTTTAAGGTTAAAAAAAAAAAAAAAAATGTTGCGACGTACGATAACGATCACGTTGTATTCTGTACCGTACCGTAACATTCTTCTCTTCTAGAGCTACAAGAACCCTCTTCGTGCAGGTCGAGAGTTTCAGACCGTATATTGTCAAACATATATGACATAGTCTTTGTAGGCTGTAGTGGGGTAGACTATATAGGGTACAACACTGCTAGGTTTTCCTACTTGTACCCATCTCCTTGCTAGTTCAGTCATTCCTTGTTTAATAATTCTCACATGGTTTCAGAGTAGGTTCCCTAGTGGGACCGGTTTTTTTTAGGGCCTACCACAAACTTTTTTTTCTGCCCTGCCCTAATCGCACTGTCGTGCCTGCCTGCCCTGTCACGGGCCTTGCGCCTGACTACCCGCGCCCTCGAGCGCCTGCCTACCCGCGCCCTCGAGCGCCTGCCTACCCGCGCCCTCGAGCGCTTGCCTACCCGCGCCCCTGGCCTCTGGAGCAGCCGCCCCTGGCCCCTGGAGCAGCCGCCACTGCAGCACCCGCCCCTGGCCCTTGGAGCAGCCGCTCGTGCAACAGCTGCCCCTGGCCCCTGGACCAGCCGCCCCTGGCCCCTGGAGCAGCTGTCCCTGCCCTGCACCCGCGCAGCCGCCCCTGGACCCCGCGACGCGTCGCCCTGCCTCTGCCTCATCGCGACGCGTCGCCCCTGCCTCGTCGCGACGCCCTTGCGGGATCCGCACGTCGCCCCCCGCCTCGTCTCGACGCCCCTGCGGGACCTGCGCGTCGCCCCCGCCTCGTCGCGACGCCCCTGCGGGACCCACGAGGCACGGCTCCTACGCGTCACACCGCCCCAACGGGACCCGAGCGTCACCCCCACTCGTCGCGACGCCCCTGCGGGACCCGCGTGGCGTCGCCCCTGCCCGCCGCGGCGCCCTTCCCTACCCCGCGCCCGCCCTTTGGACGGCCGCCCCTGCACCGCCCTGCAGCAGCTGCCGTCGTGGCCCTGCCCCGCCCTACAGCAGCGGCCGTCGCGGACTGCCCCGCCCTGCAGCAGCTGCCGTCGCGGCCCTGTCCCCGCCCTGCACCAGCTGCCGTCGCGGCCCAGCCCCGCCCTGCACCAACTGCCGCGGAGCTCCCTGGCGCGGTCGCGGCCCCGCCCTGCCGCTGTAGCGGCCCCGCCGTCGCCGCCGTCGTGCGCCTGCCCTTCCCTCCACTGGTGAGCACTGCCCTGTGTGAACAAGGATGGAGTATTGGCCCCGCCCTCGCTTGGGCAACGCCGACGACTTGGTCGGATGTACGGGAGTAGCAGCCGACTGTTCAGAGTGGGAGAGCTGCTCGACAGGCTTCGTCGAGCTGCAGGGGACCGCTGTGGTGTTGCTGTCGACCAGGGAGCTCGACAGCTGCAACTGACTGGTTTGGGCGACAAGTGGGACGTCGACCAGGAGCTACAGCTCGACCGGGAGGTCTCCGGAGCATCCCGTTGACCTGCCGTTCGACCAGGAGGTCTCCGAGCATCCCGTCAACCTGCAGTTTGACAGAGAGGTCGACGGAGCAGTCCGTCGACCTGACAAGTGAGCAGCGGTTAACGAGGGGAGCTCAACGATGGTTCTGGTCGACGGAAGGGGTCCGTCGACCAGGGGGTAGCTCGACGGGAGTTGTGGTCGACCAGAGGCACCTTGTGGTCGACCAGAGGGACCTGGTGGTCGACGAGAAGCAATGGTGGTCGAACGAAAGCACCTGGTGGTCAACCGGGTTGACAGGGTAACCTGCTCGACGAGTTCTGCGGAGGCACGCGAACGGCGTCGAGGTTGCGATGGCGCAGGCGACTGCGGGCAGGTATCCCGGAGTTGATGTGGCTCGTCAGGCGCAGACAACAGCGGACGGATGTCCAACAAGGCAGGTCGGGCCGATCGTCTGCGCGCACCTGGGAGCGTGCACACTACTGTGTTCTACGGGGCAACGCTGGACAGCCGCTCTGCTACAGCGTTGGCACGGCGTAGACCTGCTCTGTTGGCAGGTCGCCTTTCTGCAGTGCTGGCGCGGCTCCTCTACGCAACGCTGGTAGGTGGTCGACCGAGCTGTGTTGGCGGTCGACCAGGCTAGGTGCAGAGTTGCTAGGTGCCTGATGTAGTCATTCTGTCATTGCTTCTTGAATCATTCTGCAATTCCAACTTTGCTAGTGGAAGCTCTTGCCAATTTCTCCAGTGAATGTGCAAGCACAAGGAACCAAGCGAAGGTACGATCACCTCTAGTAGTTCGTGCCAACCCCCGTAGTCTAGCTCACTACCGTTGTAGAGTGACTCTCCGCACCCTGCCCGCGGTGCTACCGCTACTACTGCCGCTACTTCTGTTACTGCTGCTACTGCTGCTCCTGACGTGGCCAGGTGCAGCTCCAGGGCCGTCCGCGTGAGTCCCTCACGCCCCAGCAGCTTTGTGAGTGGTACGCTAGTTGGGGTTGTCGGGGTGGCCGTAGTGGGAGTCGCCCAGGAGTGGGTAGTTTGGGAGCTTCTGGTAGTGGCCAGCTGCAGCTGCAGCGTCGTCCGAGCGAGGCTCTTTCGCCCCAGCAACTTCGTGAGTGGTACGCTCAGAGCAGAGGGTCGCTGAGTACTGCTCGCCGCCCGTACGTCATTCGCACGGGTGTCCGGATTGGTGAGCCTTGCGGGACGGTTACTCACACAGAGTCCCGCAGCTTCGCACGTCTGAGCGACGCTTGGCGTATATGTGAAGAAACGAGGAATGAAAAAATTAGCAAGCCGGTGGGTACAAGTAGGAAAACCTATAAGTGTTGTACCCGATATTGTCTACCCCACTACAGCCTACACATACTATAGCATATGAGTTTGACACACCCCCATAGGCAAAGTGGGGAAGAACAAGAGGTCACAAGACCAGTCAAGCAAAGCAAAGCAAGCTCAGGGTGGATCACAACGTCACCACACATTCCGAGCACAAATTCAAGGCCAGTTCACATGCAAGATCATATATATAAAGGTAAACAAGCAAGTGCTGGTCTAGAAAGATCACAGTATAAGCAAGGTCAAGAAGTGAGCAAGGGAGGCCAAGTAGGCACAAGACCTAGCATCGTAAAGAAGCGCTGATGATCACAAGGCGGAAGTGCCTTGGTAAAGATATCAGCAGTGTTGGCCTCAGAGGCCACGTAAGCAAGGCGCAGCTGACCACGCTGCTGCAGCTCACGAGCAAGGAAGTAGCAAAGAGCAATGTGCTTCGTTCTGTGCTCCACTCTGTGCTCCCGACAAAAGGCCAGCATGGCCTTGTTGTTTATGTACAGAACTGGAGGAGAACGAGGCGGCTCTCCTAGGTCAGCCAGCAGGTAGGTGAGCCAGTGTAGCTCCTGTGCAGCCATGGCCCCTGCGTAGATCTCAGCCTCACAGCTGGAGCCGAGAACAGAAGACGAGCGGGTAGACTGCCACGAAACAGAGCCGGAACTAAGGCTGAAGGTGTAATCCTGTGACGACCGCTGTGTAGCTCGGTTGTCAGCCCAAGAAGCGTCTCCGTGACCTGTGAGGACCACTCGATGTCGCCCTCCAAGCACTAGCCCAATGCCTGACGTACTGCACAAGTAGCGCAACACCCTCTTCGCTGCAGCCATGTGCTCTCGTCGGTGTCTCCCAGGAGTAACATAGCATGCCAAGATGCTAAAAGGGTATGCAAGGTCAGGTCGTGTGCAGGTCATCAGGTACATGAGGCAACCAACAAG